GTGTCGCCACGAAGCCGTGGATATGTGATTTCTGTGATGTATTTTGTGGCCATGGACAAGAGATGTGATTTGATGGTGATGTTGGGGTGGCCCAGTGCAAAAATCAGAAGGATCCATAAGGATCTGTGCTTTGGAATCATGTGTTTTTGGAGCATGGTGCTGCCACAAAGCCGTGGATCTGTGATTTTTGTGGTAATTACTGTGGCTATGGACATGATATGTGATTCAAGGGTGCGTCTGGGTGACCTAACTCAAAATCCCTGAGGATCCATGAGTTCCATGATTCAGAAGCTTTTTTTTGCAGCACGGATTTGCCACCGAACCATGGACTCGTGATTTTCTGTGGTGCAAGCTGTGGCCACGGTGCTGCCACGTGATTTGATGGTGATGTTGGAGTGACCCAGTTGAAAAACCCTGAGGATCCATGAGGATCCGTGCTTTGGCGCCATGTTTTTGCAGTTTAGTAGTGCCACAAATTCACGGGGGCGTGATTTTTGTAGCGCTGCCTATAGTCTAAGACATGGTCTACAGTATGATGTTGGTTGTATTTCATTTCAGCGTAAGAATCGTATGAACTCATGAGGATCCGTGCATTGAAATCATGTTTTTGCACTGTTGTGGTGCCACGAATCTGTGGATGCGTGGTTTTTGTGGTGCCCCCTATAGACTAACACATGGCTTACAGTACGATGGTGGGTTTCTTTTGTTTCAATGTAAAAATCATATGAATTCATGAGGATCCGTGTAGATCCGACTTTTACTCAGACCCGGGAAAATTCCAGTATCCTGTTGTAAAATTCCTGATATAGGACTCACATGACTAACAACTCTTTTTAGATAATCTGAATTATCTCTAGAATAATTCCCTGGCTTTGTCTCACAATCATTAACACGACTGGTGAACCTGTACAAACACACCGAGCTGTTGCTGTGCTTGTAATCATAGGTTAAACTGAGAAGAACTAATCAGTGGTAAAGTCACAACAGCGGGTTCATGCAGCTTCATGGAAAAGAGAGAGCAACAATTTCTTCACCAGTTTGGTGCCGTGGTTAAGTGCGCTGACTCTAATCTGGGAGAACCGGGTTTGATTCCCCACTCCTCCACTTGCACCTGCTGGATGACCTTGGGCAAGCTGTAGTTCTGGCACAGCTGTTCTTGAAAAAGAGCAGTTTCTGTCAAGAGCTCTCTCAGCCCCACCTACCTCCCAGGGTGTTTGTTGTGGGGATGGGAAGGAGTTTGTAGGCTGCTCTGAGACACCTTTGGGTTGTGAAGGGTGGGGTATAAATCCAATCTCTTCTTCTTCTTCTTCTTCGGTGTAGTGTTCTGTGGTGTAGTGGTTAAGTGCGTGGACTCTAATCTGGGAGAACCGGGTTTGATGCCCCACTCCTCCACTTGCACCTGCTGGGTGACCTTGGGCAAGCCATAGTTCTGTCAGAGCTGTTCTTGAAAAAGAGCAGTTTCTGTCAGAGCTCTCTCAGCCCCACCTACCTCACAGGGTGTCTGTTCTGGGGAGGGGAAGGAGGTTGTAAGCCTCTCTGAGACACCTTTGGGTAGTGAAGGGCGGGGTATAAATCCAATCTCCTCCTCGGGTTTGATTCCCCACTCCTCCACTTGCAGCTGCTGGATGACCTTGGGCAAGCCATAGTTCTGTCAGAGCAGTTCTTGAAAGAGCAGTTTCTGTCAAGAGCTCTCTCAGCCCCACCGACCTCACAGGGTGTCTGTTGTGGGGAGGGGAAGGAAATGGAGTTTGTAAGCCGCTCTGAGACTCCCTTGGGTAGTGAAGGACAGGGTATAAATCCAATCTCTTCTTCTTCTTCCACCTGCTGAAAATAATGTCCTGAAAGCCTTTTCAACCTTTGGCTTGGGGGAAGAACTTGAAAGGCAAAGGGGATCGCGGCGGGTAAGAAGAGAAACTGTAGCCCCACTTCTTTGCTCAGAGGAGATGCCATTAACTATTTTGCAATGCAAGAACAGGCAGCAGGAAAAATAACTGAATCTGCATTTGCGTTTTTAAATTAGTTTCATGCTGCTGTGACGCCGTGTTTCTCTATGCTTGTTTGAATGTTGTTTGGAGGAGATTCTTTTAAAGCCGTGCAGAGGTGCCGTGACAGTGGAGCTGCCCCGAAAGGATGATAAACATACGTAGATGTGCAAAAGTATGTTAGCACTCTTGAGGTGTGAAAACGAGACCAAATGTAGACAGCTTTTTTGAAGACGGAGTCAAAAGGCTGGGGTGGGAAAGACAAATGCAGATTCAGCCTGACCTTGCACCATCCAGCATTATTTGAACGGTATGGTGTGAAGAAATGTAGGTCCTACCCTGTACGTTATAGAGCGGATTAGACAGACTGTATTAAAAAAACACTAGGAGCTGCGGTGGCTCAAGTGGTTAAGACGCTGAACTGCAGGCTGTGGAAGGTCGGTAGTTCAGCAGTTCGAGACCCGGGTGCCGCATGACGGAGTGAGCTCCCTTCTCTAGTTCCAGCTCCTGCCAACCTAGCAGTTCGAAAGCAAGAAATTGCAAGTGGATAAATAGGTGGGAAAGGTGACAGCGTTCCGTGCACCTTGGTGTTTAGTCATGCCAGCCACATGACGACGGAAACGTCTTCGGGCAGCACTGGCTCTTCGGCTTGGAAACGGAGATGAGCACCACAACCCTAGAGTCGGACTCGACTGGCTTTCGAGCAAGGGAAACCTTTACCTTTTACCCTGTACCTTTTAGAGCGGATTAGACAGACCATATTTAAAAAAACCCACACCCTGAACCAGTGTTCCCTCTAAGTTGAGTTGGCGTGAGCTAGCTCACAGTGTTTTAGCCTTTGGCTCACACATTTTTGTCCTCGCTCCGGAAGGAGGGTTCCAGAGCAGACTAATTGAGGCAGGTGCAAAATGGCTCGCTCCCCACTTTAGTGCCGGTAGCTCGCAAAGCAGAATTTTTGCTCACAGGGCTCCACAGCTTAGAGGGAGGATTAGTTATCGAAGTCAGTGTTCCCGCTAAGCTGAGTGAGTGTGAGCTAACTCACAGTCTTTTAGCCTCCAGCTCACACACTTTTTCCAGAGCACAAACTGATTTATGCAGCAGCCAAATGGCTCGCTCACAACTTTAATGCCAGGAGCTCACAAAGTACAATTTTTGCTCACAGGGCTCCACAGCTTAGAGGGAGCATTGCCCTGAACTCCCACTGTCTCCCCCCACATTGGTCTCTTTTATATTCACCTGCCTCAGGTAATCCCCCCCCCCCCCTTCCCCTTTAAGGGTTCTCAGTATGAAATGAGTCCGGCTCCCCCCTTCACTCCCTCCCAACTCCCTCCGCCCCCGTCCCGCTCTGACTCCGCCCACTTCCTTTGAAGCCGAGGGACCGCCCCATCCCCACCTCAACCGTCGGCGGCTCCTCCGAGCGGCGCCTCCATATTTGATCCGGGAAAAGAAACCTTCAAGGTCTGGAGGAGGAGGCGGCGGAGGAAAGGAAAGGAAGAACACCCGCAGACCGGCAGCAGCAGCCAGGGCAGCCCTAACACCGGGAAAGCCTCCTAGTTCACTAGTGATCGGGGGGAAAGGGAACCCCCCCTCCCCAAGCAGCGGCGTCTCCTTAGAGGGGGGGGGGGCTGCTAGTCTCCTGAGCCACTGTTCCCTCTAAGCTGAGTGAGTGTGAGGTGGCTCACTGTTTTTTAGCCTCCAGCTCACACATTTTTGTCTTAGGTCAGGGAGGAGGGCTCCAGAGCCAACTCATTGAGGCAGCAGCCGAATTACTTGCTCGCAACTCGAATGCCAGGAGCTCACAAAGTAGAATTTTTGCTCACAGGACTCCACAGCTTAGAGGGAGCATTGCTAGTCCTGACTCTTCCCCTCTTTTCCCCTCCCGTTCCCCACCTCCTGGATCTTGGCCCCTGTTGCTCTTCTCTCCTGCTTTGCTCTAACTCACTGCCCCCCATCCCTATTTCCACCCTCTTCAGAGCCCACCCCCCCTTTCCCAGACCACCCTCGCTTTTCACCCTCTCTCCCTTTTTATTTTAAGGGCAACCCATCTGTTCCCTCCTTGTCCCTCCTTTCAGCCTCCCCACCAGCCCCCCCCTCCAGACTCCCGGTTCTTTCACTTGGATGCCAGTAGCTCACAATGTAGAGTTTTTGCTCACAAGATTCCACAGCTTAGAGGGTGCATTGCTGGCATTAAACCTGTGAGCGAGTGATTTGGCTGCTGCATAAATCAGTTTGCTCTGGACTCTGAGCTGAGACAAAAACATGTGAGCTGGAGGCTAAAAAACTGTGAGCTGGCTCACACTAACTCAGCTTAGAGGGAACACGTCACCTAACCATCTTGCATTTGACCCCTGATGGCTCTCCGGGAAGACGAGAGAGAGCTCATCCCCTACTGTCTGCCCCCCTTGTCTTTTCCTATTTTGCCCTCTCCCTCCTGGCTTGGGAGCCCCGGCCAACCTGGGTCTTCACGCTTCCCCCCTCATCTCAACATTCCCCTCAAGTCTCCTCCACTCCTGAGCGATGCTCCCTCTAGGCTGTGGAGTCTTGTGAGCCAAAATTCTACTTTGGGAGCTCCTGGCATTCAAGTTGTGACTGCAATGCTCCCTCTAGGCTGTGGAGTCTTGTGAGCAAAAATGCTACTTTGGGAGCTCCCGGCATTCAAGTTGCAAGCGAGCGATTTGGCTGCTGCATAAATTAATTTGCCCTGGAGCCATCCTTCCTGAGCTAAGACAAAAATCTGAGTCGGAGGCTAAAAAGCTGTGAGCTAGCTCACACTAACTCAGCTTAGAGGGAACACTGCTTGTGAGCAAAAATTCTACTTTGGGAGCTCCGGGCATTCAAGTTGTGGCTGCAATGCTCCCTCTGGGCTGTGGAGTCTTGTGAGCAAAACTTCTACTTTGGGAGCTCCCGGCATTCAAGTTGTGAGCGAGGGATTCGTTTGCTCTGGAGCCCGTCCCTTCCTGAGCTGAGACAAAAATGTGTGAGCCGCAGGCTAAAAAAACCTGTGAGCTAGCTCACAGTAACTCAGCGTAGAGGGAACGCTGCTCCTGATCCCCTGTTAGCCGTCTTCCCTCCTAGTAAACACTCTCCTCCCGTTTCTCCCTTTCGTTTCCCCTCTGATCCCTTTGTCCCCAAGGGGTGTTCCTTGACAGTGTCATTCCCTTCTTCTTCCGCCCTTAGTGCTCTCGTCCTACTGCTCCCTGTGTTCCACCGACACATCTCTCTGGTGCTGATCCTGTGTCCTCAGAAACTCTCAAGATAACCCTCCAGTCTGGAGTTTTCTCTTTGAATCGGTCTTCCTTCCTTTTTTTGGTCTTGTACGTTAAACGAGTTTCTCCTTGCTCCTGCTTTGCTTACTGTGCCCGCCTCCAGCACATTTTTTACATAAACGTGTAGGTTTCCTGTTTTTCCCTGCTCCGACTTTATTTTGCGTCTGCTCCTCGCCACTCTCGACAAAGCTGACGGCTTGCTGTTAAGGCTTTTGACTGGCAAAACGGGCATCTTCTTTCCTATTAGGTGGCTTTTTCAGGGGACGCAAAGAACTAATCCCGAGCTAACATTGGCGCTTTTTAGCTTCTATTTTTAAAAGACCTTTTCTCGTCGTTCCTGTAGCAGTCGGGTTGGGAAAGATCTTCCTGTGTTAAATTCCTTTTCTCCCCTCCATCCCTTATTGGGTTTCTAGTCGCTGGAAAGGCTGAAGAGGAGGATGCCAAGGAAACTGCTGTTACCTTATAAATCTGTGTTTTCTCACTCTCGGGTTCCAAGGGGTTTGCATGATTCCTTGGCGATGAATGCAAGCAGAAGCGGCTACCGGGTCTTCTCGGCAAATTCTACAGCGGCATGCACGGAGCTGGCAAAGAAAATCACTGAGTGAGTCTCTTGGATTTTTAAACCTTGTGTCGTTTATCATTATGCTGGTGTCTGGACAGTTTTCTTTAGGGGGTATTTTCAGAGGCTAGTTGTGTTGCTCTGTAGTAGAACAGTTAGAGTCTAGTCTGGTAGCACGTAACACCTTAGAGACTGACAAGATTTTCAGGACGTAAGCTTTCGAGCGTCAAAGCTCCCTTCGTCAAACTTGGTCACTAAAGTGCTACTGGACTTGAGTTTAGCGATTTTAAATCGTACGTGACTCGAAAATCAATCATATCTGCTAAATGAAGTTTTATCTTTTTTCCCTTCAATCTCATAGTGAATTAATTAACCTTTAGTAATTTGATTCAAGTCAGCCAGGTTTAGGAATTCATGAGCCACACAAGGTAAGATGGATTCACTTGGGTCATTCAAACTGTTTTATTTGGGAATGCCTCTGAAACTCAGCGAGACTGCAGGTTGTACAGCCACCCACTCAGTGGCCTCTAGTGCAAGTCAGAGAGGAACCCCTGTCCAGTTTGGGCAAGCCATAGTTCTGATAAGAGCTGTCCTTGAAAAAGAGAAGTTTCTGTCAAGAGCTCTCTCATAAGAACATAAGAGACGCCAATGTTGGATCAGGCCAAAGGCCCATCCAGTCCAACACTCTGTGTCACACAGTGGCCAGAAATACCAGTGCCATCAGGAGGTCCAGCAGTGGGGCCAGGACATTAGAAGCCCTCCCACTGTTGACCCCCCCCAAGCACCAAGAAGACAGAGCATCACTTGCCCCAGAGCCCCTAGCTATACCTTGTGGCTAATAGCCACTGATGGACCTCTGCTCCATATGCTTATCTAATTCCCTTTTGAAGCCATCCATGCTTGTAGCACCCACCACTTCCTGTGGCAGTGAATTCCAAGTGTTAATCACTCTTTGGGTGAAGAAGGACGTCCTAATCTTATAAACCTCGATCATGTCACCCCTCAGTCGTCTTTTCTCCAAGCTAAAGAGCCCTAAGCGCTTTAACCTTTCCTCATAGGGAAAGTGTTCCAACCCTTTTATCATTCGAGTTGCCCTTTTCTGCACTTTTTCCAAAGCTATAATATCCTTTTTAAGGTGTGGTGCCCAGAACTGCACACAGTATTCCAAATGAGGTCTTACCATTGATTTATATAGGGGCATTATTATATTGGCTGATCTGTTTTCAATACCCTTCCTAATAATCCCCAGCATAGCATTGGCCTTCTTTATTGCAGTCACACACTGTCTCGACATTTTCAGTGAGTTATCCACTACAACTCCAAGATCTCTCTCTTGCTCAGTCTCTGCCAGTTCAGACCCCATCAATGTGTATTTATATTTAGGATTTTTGGCTCCAATGTGCATCACCTTGCACTTGGCCACATTGAACCCCATTTGCCATGTTGACGCCCACTCGCCCATCTTTGACAGATCCCTTTGGAGTGCCTCACAATCCTCACTGGTTTTCACCACCTTGAACAACTTTGTATCATCCGCAAATTTAGCCACTTCACTGCTTACTCCCATCTCCAAATCATTTATGAACAAGTTAAAAAGCAGTGGACCAAGTACTGATCCCTGCGGTACCCCACTGCTTACCACCCTCCACTGAGAAAATTGCCCACCTACACTCACTCTCTGTTTTCTATGAACTAGCCAGTTTTTGATCCATAAAAGGACTTGTCCTTCTATCCCATGATTTTTGAGCCCCACCTACCTCACAGGGTGTCTGTTGTGGGGAGGGGAAGGGGGAGGAGTTTATAAGCTGCTCTGAGACTCCCTTGGGTAGTGAAGGGCGGGGTATAAATCCAATCTCTTCTTCATTATCTCACTTTTTGACTGGGAGATCTGCTATAAACGTGGTTTGCTGAATGCTCCTTGAAGATGGAAACATTTGTGCATTTTTTTTTTAAGTGTTGATCTAAGCATTTGTAGAAAGCTAAAGGAGTTAGGAGATCTTTAACTCGTTGGACTGTCCTATTAGCATCTCAATTATACTTGAATAGTACAAACAAAGATATTCACTGTTTTGCCGGCATCACTTTTCAAATAAGACCACCCTTCTCATGGAGCCACAAACACTGGACACTATTCAAGAGATTTAAAAAATCAGTTCAGTCTCCCCATTTCTTCTTAAGAGCCAGTTTGGTGTAGTGGTTAAGTGCGCGGACTCTGGGAGAACCGGGTTTGATTCCCCACTCCACTTGCACCTGGCTGGATTTTTTTATTGCATTTTTCTAAAGACTACAAATCTACAATGAAAATGAGGGAGGGGAACTACAATTAGGGTTAAAGAAAAGAAAACCCACTACTATCTAAAATCCCAAGAGAGGAGATCCTCAAAATCTCTTAAGTACAAAGTCAGTTCTAAACTCGCTAACAATTTTTTGAACGTAGTCAAGTGTGCTATTACAACTTTTGAATCTTAAATTAACTGTTAAAAATAAAAACCCCAGAGCATCTTGTTACAATCAACCCTTTTCAAAGGCACAATACAGAGTCCTTCAGCCTTCATTTCTTCTTATCCTATCGTCTTCGCAATTTATAAGGACTTTTAGGAGCCGCTGCTCCCTTCTCTGACAGAGAGTCCTCTCCAGAAGACCCCAAGTCCAGCTTGCCACTAGACTTACTGTCCTCTTTATCACCTTTCTCTTGCTCACCCAACTGGATTTTCAAAATGTCCCGTGCTTTGGAAACAGAGTCAATCTTTCCCTTTTTGTCTTGAAGTTTGAAGGTTACGCCCTCTGGATACAGCCACCGATAGCTGATTGCGTTTGTTTGAAGAAAAAGGATTAAATCTTTGTATTTCCTTCTCCTTTGTCTTATTTCAAATGGGATGTCTTTAAGGATCCTGGTGGTGCTGTCCCCGATTTTCAAGGTTGTCCCCATCATTGCTCTCAGGATAGTATCCCTCACATGTCTCTTTGAGAATCTCATTACTATTTCCCCAGGCAGATTATTCTTTTTTATATATACGGAATATGACCTATAGGCCACATCCATTTCGCTCATCAAGTACTCCGCCATCAAATCTGTCACTGGGGCTAATGCTTCGCTCAGCATTTGCTTTAGATTCTCTCCTTTAGATTCTGGGACACCCTGGAATCGGAAAACCAAGTTTGCCTTCTCCATTTGCAGCTGTAAAAGTTGTTCTTCTGTGGAGACTTGCTTCTTTTCCAATTTTTGTACCTTTTTCTTCACCTTTTGAGTAGTGGCGTCAACTTCTTTCACCTTCTCAGCTGTTTGCTCTGTAATTTTAAGGGTCTCATTCACTTGTGCATGCTGGGTGGTGATACATTTGGTCATTGTAGACAACTGTTCCTTGACGTTAGTCATCTGTTCCAGCAGGGGACGCAGAGATTCTGCCAACATTTTAGCCAACTTCGTGGTTCCTTCTGGTTTTTGACTCTCCCCTTTCGCTTTTATAAATTTCTCCTTCTCCGTCCTCTTCCCCGCCATCTTTTATCGATTGTTTACTTTCGCCGCAGTTTCTAAAGTCTCTGAATGTGCGCTCAAACGCTTATACACACCTTGGTAAGTTTTTCTCAACAGATTTCAACGCTTTCGCTTCCGCTCCCACCCGTTTTTTTGCTTAAAAGTTCATGCACATGGGAGGGGGGGCAAGCCGTAGTTCTGATAAGAGCTGTCCTTGAAAAAGAGCCGCTTGTGTCAGAGCTCTCTCAGCCCCACCTACCTCACAGGGTGTCTGTCGTGGGGAGGGGAAGGAGATTGTAAGCCGCTCTGAGACACCTTTGGGTAGTGAAGGGCGGGGTATAAATCCAATCTCTTCTTCTTCTAAATGAAAAAGAGCCACAGGAGGCTCTGGGTTTGAAGAAGAAGAGAGAAGAGATTGGATTTATACCCCGCCCTTCACTCGGAGTCTCAGAGCGGCTTACAAACTCCTTTCCCTTCCCCTCCCCACAACAGACACCCTGTGAGGTGGGTGGGGCTGAGAGAACTCTTGACAGAAACTGCTCTTTTTCAAGGACAGCTGTCCCAGAGCTTGTGACTGACTCAAGGTCACATCAGCAGGTGCAAGTGGAGGAGTGGGGAATCAAACCTAGTTCTTCCAGATTAGAGTCCGCGCACTTAACCACTACACCAAACTTGCTCTGGTCAGAAGAGCAATGGGGTGGGAGAAAGGGTTCATAATTTTTCACAATTGCCCTCCCCACAATGCTATTCTAATTATTGTCTTCTCTTCTCATGGATGGGAAAGCAGCTTTTTGTGGTGGTTGGAAAAAAGTGATTTTGATGGGGTTGGGGTGGAATCTACCAGCAGGAAAAAGCTTAGCAGCCACCTCCATTCTTTTGGTGAAATTCATAGCCTCCCACAACTGTTGATAAATGTCTGGAGATGGTTGCACTTGACTGCTGTGTAATGGCTAGTTTGGCCCCAAGTAATACCATACATGTATCACAATGGTATTGGGGGCAGTCATAAATGTCCTTGGAAAACATGAAATTAGATGAATTCTGGTCTTCTAAACATTTTACCACCATATATATATTACTGATCTATATTACTGACTAGCCTGATACCCGTGCTTTGCTACCATATTTAAGTTCCATAAATCCAGTTATAATACCCATGATGTGAAGTTTGAAAGGTGACATTTGTTGTAGGAATTCTAACAGAGAATTCTAACAGAGAACAGATTGTAGTGTAAGAAATGAAGTGAGACATACATACTTTTTTTTCTTCTCTACCGAAGGACCTCTCTCTAGACCACATTGGTGGTTCTACCCTCAGGTGCTAGAATCACCAGGCTGCTTGGTGAGCTCACTCTGGAGCAGGCAACATAGAACTGTCCATTTAAGAAGCAATCATCAAGTCAGTTCCTGCCACCTTCCATGAAAGTGATGGCCTCTCTACTTGTGTTCCTGGATTGTTTTGCTCGTATGGAGACTGTGTTGTTCTGAGCACCTCAGGGTGATCTTGCTGGTACTTGGCCTGCGCAGCTCAGTGCTCCGCAGGAGTATTATGTGCAGATGTCTTTGC